GGTCACATCGAGATTACGTTATGCCCTAACCCTAACCATATCGGTCCTACCGAGTTGCATCTCAGTCCCACCAAAAATCTTAACGGTCACTAGGTTTGCTGAATCGGTCTGACCGAGTTTAACCATTCGGTCCCACCGAGTTTGGCAAATTGTGTGTAACGGTTAGATTTTGTGTGGAGGCTATATATACCCCTCCACCCACTCTTCATTCGTGGAGAGAGCCATCAGAACATACCTACACTTCCAATACACATTTTCTGAGAGAGAACCACCTACACTTGTGTTGAGGTCAAGATATTCCATTCCAACCATATGAATCTTGATCCCTAGCCTTCCTAAGTTGATTTCCACTCAAATCTTCTTTCCACCAAATCCAAATCCTGTGAGAGAGAGTTGAGTGTTGGGGAGACTATCATTTGAAGCACAAGAGCAAGGAGTTCATCATCAACACACCATTTGTTACTTCTTGGAGAGTGGTGTCTCCTAGATTGGCTAGGTGTCACTTGGGAGCCTCCGACAAGATTATGGAGTTGAACCAAGGAGTTTGTAAGGGCAAGGAGATCGCCTACTTTGTGAAGATCTACCGCTAGTGAGGCAAGTCCTTCGTGGGCGACGGCCATGATGGATAGACAAGGTTGCTTCTTCATGGACCCTTCGTGGGTGGAGCCCTCCGTGGACTCGCGCAACCGTTACCCTTCGTGGGTTGAAGTCTCCATCAACGTGGATGTACGATAGCACCACCAATCGGAACCACGGCAAAACTTCCGTGTCTCCAATTGCGTTTGAATCCTCCAAACCCTTCCCTTTACATTCTTGCAAGTTGCAAGCTTTACTTTCCGCTGCTCATATAGTCTTTTGCATGCTTGCTTGAATTGTGTGGAGATTGCTTGACTTGTACTAAGATAACTAAAATCTGCCAAGAAGTAAAATTGGGAAAATGCTAGATTTTTATTTGGTCAAGTAGTCTAATCATCCCCCCTCTAGACATACTTTCGATCCTACAAAAGAGCTTTGTTGATGAATGCAATCGGGTGTCCTTGTTGCTGTAAGACATCTCCGATGCCTAAATCACTGGTGTCAGTTTCGACGGTGAACGGGCAGGGCCAAAACTGGTGCTGAAATAAGCTGCTGCTATATGAGTTTGAATGATGTATCGGTGGCTGGTGTCCAAACAAAGGGCACCCCTTTCTTGAGCAGGTTAAACAGCAGTCTTGCGATAATCTTGAAGTTTTTAACAAAACGACGGTAGTAGCCACCCAACCCTAGAAAGCTTCGCACTGCCTTGGCATCTGTTGGTACTATCCAATTGGAGACTGCCTGTATCTTCACCGGATCTGTAGCTACTCCAGCCGTGTTGATCACGTGACCCAGGTACGAAATTTGCTACTGACTGAATGCACACTTTGACATTTTCACCTTCCAGCTGTCGCGGCGTAGCAGCGTAAGTACCTCTCTGAGTTTTTGCACGTCCTCCCGGAGTGTTTTGCTGTGCACCAGGATGTCGTCGAAGAAGCAGAGCCCCCCCTTGCGCGATACAGGCTTCAAAGTTCCATGCATAGCTCAATTAAAAGTGCCCAGTCCTCCAGCCAAACCAAATGACAGGACTTTGAACTCATAATGGCTTGAGTGCGTCTGGAAGGCTGTCTTGTACTCCTCGCCTTTCGCTGGACGAATCTGATGATAACCAGCACGCAAATCCATCTTGGTGAACCAGCACGACCCAAACAACTCATACAATAGTTCTTCTATAACTGGTACTGGGTATTTGCCCACATTTGTCAAAGCGTTGAGGTGTCTATAGTCAACACAGAGACGCCAGGTGTCGTCTTTCTTCTTCACAAGAATCACAGGAGATGAAAATGCACTCGTGCTTGGTTGAATGATGCCAGCTTTGAGCAATTCTTCCACCTGCCTCTCAATTTCATCTTTGTGATCGGGCTTGTGACGATAAGGCCGAATATTGACCGGTTGCGCCCCTGGAATCAAGGGAATACGATGGTCACAAGCCCTGCGAGGAGGTAAGCCTTGTGGTTCTCCAAACACATCAGCAAATTCAGATAACAGCTCTTGGATCGGCTCAGGCACTGTTTGTTGTTGCTCTTCCCCTGGAATAACAACACAGATATGGACAATGTGTGACACGGCTCCCTGTTTGCAGAGAGCTTGCAATTGTATGCTGTTGATCGTCAGGCACGTGGACGATGAAGCTTCATGACCCTTGAGGATTACTGGTCCTGTTGGCGACTGAAATTCCAGCTGTTTGGCTCACCAATCTACTGTCATTGGACTGTGAGCTTCGAGCCAATCCATCCCCAAAATAACATCATAAGTACCCAAGGCTAATATCTTCATGTGTGTTGCAAACTCCTGTCCTTGAGAGAACCACTCGCATTGCCGAACTACTGATGTGCATAACAATTCACCTCCATCAGCCACCTTAACTCGACACGCTGTGCTCAACGACTACATTCCATTGAGGCGCTTGGCGAGGTCCTGGTTGATAAATGATGTAGAACTGCCCGAGTCCACAAGCATGAGCACCTCGTGACCCTGTATCCATGCTTGAAGCTGGAACACTTTAGCAGACACTCCACCAGATAAGGCAGTTCGGGATATGGCACAAACTGATTCTGTTGCAATCTCTGTCTGGCCAGACCCGTCGTCGCTGCAAACTGTGTTGATGCCCAACAATTCCAGGAGCTCCTCGACCACGTGCAGTTGCACTGACATGAGGCAAACATGATCCTGGCCCCAACATTCGCCGCACTTGAAGCAGAGCCCCCGCACGCGCCGATAATCGTGTAGAGTTTTGACCTTGGTGAGGTCCGGCCGAGATTCATTCCGTCGAACCCCCTCAGCTCGAGCTCCTTCCACGCCGCGCCGATCTGTTGCCGTTGCTGGAGTAGGCATGTGTTGCGATGGAGGAGGCAGAGGCAACGGCGCAGGGCCACGAGACAGGGTGTCGGGTGGCTGCGACATCAATGGTTGCCGTGCCTCGTGGAATGCTTCGCGGATGACCTCCTCCTGGAGCAGGGCGATGGAGCAAGCCGTGTCCAGGTCCGGTGGTCGTTGCACAAAAACCACCGCTCAGATGTCCGCCCGTAGCCCTTCCACAAAACGAGTGAGGAAATAATAAGGCTGAATTGAATCTGAATACGAGCTCAAATTGTTTATGATCAGTTCAAATTTCTCAATATAATCAGTGACAGTGGATGTCTACCGTATGGTGTAAAATTGACGGATCAGCAACTGATGTCGATCTCGATTGAAACGAGTACAAAGTAATGTTGTAAATGACTCCCAATCAAACTGCGATAGTTTTTTCTGAATGGTTTGCAACCAAACTGACGCTGCCCCTGAGAAATTCAGGGAGGCCATAGGCACCCAGAACGACTGATGTATGCCAAACATTTCAAAATATTGCTTGCACAACACCTTCCAGAGATGGGGATTATCTCCCGCAAACACCGAAAACACGATGGAAGGATGTGCCTGCCCCAGCCCCGTGAGGAGCTGGCTGGCATGAGTAAATGGGGAAGAAACAGTAAGCGGGGTATTGGGAGCGAGCTGACCATTGTAGATGAACTGCGCCAGATCGAACGCAGAGGATGGTGGTGCTAGTCTCTGATGCTAGATGTTAGGGACGAGGTAGGAAGGGAGTCGATCTAATATTCTCACAGTGGCAATTTAGTCTGGTACAAGCTGATTACAAGAATGAATCGAGCAAGGGGAAACTAGGGTTTATGCCGCCGCCGCCTGGTTCGGTGATCCACTGGATGTCGTTTCTCGAGTGAGTGTCGCCTTAAGTAGTTGATGCGGTCTTGGACTTGGCCGTCGTCCATTCTGGACCATAGTAGCGCCTTTTGGGCTTGGGGGCGCGGCTGGGCCGCGCCGGATGGGCTTGGGCTGCATCTGTCTGCGAGGCTGCTTCGCCAGGTGCGCTGACATCACCCCCCAATCTACCTCCATCCACGCGTTGTCTACTTCTCTCACTCTCAGCCGCCGAACAAAATGAATGAAGGAGAATAAGAAAAGACAACCTTCAAAGAGGCCCACGACAGGCCGTAAAAAAAACAAGATAAACAACCAGCGTTGCATTTTGATCCAAACTGGTCGGGAGCCAAAGTGAAAATGGGTTGCCACGGGACACATACAATGATGCTGCGACAGACAACACGAATCATGGCGTGGGATTCATCCAACGCTATGGTTGTGAACGGGACACTAGTTTTAGGGGCGCATCTATGTGCCGCTTATTACCGGGCAGACGGTTGCCACGCCTATAGGGTGCGGTGGTGGGTCGGCCCAGTAGGATGTGGCTCATCATGGTGATGTAATTTGATTTTTTTAATATTTTAAATGCATATAGTTCAAAAACTTAAATTTACTTAAGAAAATTTCAAACAATTTTTTAAAATAACACCATATAATTTTTTTAGTAGCGCAGTTTAAAAATATTTATAACTTCCAAAACAATGTCCGGGCGGATGAAAATTCCTCCTGTGTTTAAAAAAAATGAACGTGAAATTTTGAAAAATGGTGTATACATTGCAAAGAAAATGTTTGCGTAATGTAAAAAAATGTTTCACCATTAAAAAAAATGTATGTGACATTTTATGAAAATACTCCCGTTTTCATACCATTAAAAACAATGTATGTGACATTTCATGGAAATATTCCCGTGTTTCCAGAAAATGTTTGTGACATTTTTTAAATGCTATATATAATTTAAAGAAATGTGTTGAAAAAAGAAAAGAAAATTGATAAAATCCGAAAAAGAAACAAAATGTTGGGAATGGCAGTTGTGGCGATGAGAACCCAAGTCGGAATCGGCGGCCCCAATCTATATCAGCATAGGGCGCTGGTTGCCCTGATGCACGAACCAAACAAACTACTCGTCTCGCTTGATCGTCAAACTTAATAACAGCAGATAGAAGAGGAGGAGAGAGAGAGAGAGAGACACGCATCATATCAAACTTACGATTGACCGCGCCCTGTGCATGGATCGGCACTCGGAGCGTCTGCTTCTCCTGCGCGTGTACGCGTTCCTCAAGTCGAGGAAACTCAACCGCGCGGCGAACGCGCTGGAGCAGGAGGCGCGGCTCCGGTTCGACTGGCCCCGCGTGCACCTCATGATCCGGGCCGGGCGGTGGCGGTCGGCGGAAGAGTACACGTCGGCGTTCCTGGACGGCGGCAGGGCCAGCACGCCGGAGGCCTGCGCCACCCTGTTCCTCCTCCGGTTCCAGCGCTTCGTGCGCGCGCTCAAGCGCGGCGACGAGGCGTGGGCGGAGCGGTACCTGGCGCGCCGCATCCTGCCCGTCCTGCATGCCCACCCCGACAGAGACGCCGCCGCGGCCAGATGCGCCGCCGTGCTGCGCGACAGGCGCGCCCTCGACGCGCAGCGTGACGATGCCGAAGCGCGGCGCGCCTGCAACCACGAGTTCCTCGGCCTCATATTCCAGAACGATGGGTTCTTGATCCTCACCGACGACGACACCGAGCTAAAGCGCCTCGAGCGGGCGGCCTCCCTTGGTCTCCGACGATACGCACGCCCGCGCCGCGGCCGACCTAGGGCTAGGAGGGGTTGAACATGCATTGGGTTCAGTCATTGAGATTTGAGAAACATCCGGCAAGCGCGGGCAATGTTCGTGCAGATGCATGTACTTAGATGTTCGAATTCTAAGAGTGATGCAAAATTGAAGATGTAAAATTTACATTATTAAAAGGTGCATTTTACATCTTTTAAAAAGAGGCAACTCCAAAAAATGATGTGCATTGATGATGTAAAGTGCAGCTCCCATAAATGATACAAATTAGAGATGTAAAACTAGAAACTTCAACTACTACTTCATTTCAAACATTAATTCAAACATAGTTCAAACATAATTCTAATTGAAAACATAAATTAAACGACTACTACAACTAGTTAAACTACTCATCATTCGAGGGCATCCAGTACTCGTTATTGTCCTCATTGGAGGGCCCCCACAATTCCTTGTCGTCCTCCTTCGAGGACTCACATTCTTCACCACCTTCTTCTGCTCGGCCTCGCGCTTTCAGAAGTAGTCCTACTCGGCCTGAACGTACTATGGTTATTTTTGCATCTACATTATCTATACGAGATGCTCTAAAGAGACGAATGCATAGTTTAAAATTTTAGATAGATCGACATGTCATGATGTGTGTAATTACAAATCTTACATTTTTAAGAAGTTGGTCCCAATTCTCTCAACATACAAAGTGTCCACCTCAACGTCCCATTAAGAATGCATTGAAGTCTTCTTTCTCACTAAGCCATCCCAAATCCGCCACATAAGCGAGTCATACATTTAACTTATAAATTATAATTAATTTTTGCATTAGTCTATGCATGTAAAGCTGCCACATCATATATTCATGTTAGTCATCCTTCATATTTTTGTTCGAAATGACATTTTTAACTATAATTCAAGTTTTTATTCTATTTTTAGACAATTTATTTTATTGATTTTGAAGCTTATACTTTCTTTTTATTATATTTAGTTACTTTTGTCAACTACTTACGCATATTTAAACAAAGCTACCGCAACAACGCGGGGAGAGAGTCATCTTCACTACTCTATTTCAGAGTCGTTACATATTAAATCCAAGCCATGTTCTATTGCCAAACATCTCTTATTTTTATTTTCCTACTCTTTTTCTCCTTACTGTATGCTCCTCTCTTTCAAATTGTTTATTACACTACCATCCCGTTGCAACACACAGGGTATTGTCTAGTTCACAATAATCCAGAGACTAGTGAATTTTCAACCTTTTTCTTAAAGATCGTGACGTCTCCTACTAGGCTGGTAATGCCTCATTCCGTTTACAGGAATTTTATAGGTACTCTCTATGTGCCGAATTAGTTGTCTTTGATTTGTCTAAATATATAAATCTATGACAATATTTGGACGGAGGTAATATTATAATAGTAACACTACCTTTCTGAAGGAAATATGCCCTAGAGGCAATAATAAAGTTATTATTTATTTTCTTATTTCATGATAAATATTTATTATTCATGCTAGAATTGTATTAACCAGAAACATAATACATGTGTGAATACATAGACAAACATAGTGTCACTAGTATGCCTCTACTTGACTAGCTCCTTGATCAAAGATGGTTATGTTTCCTAACCATAGACATGAGTTGTCATATGATAAATGGGATCACATCATTAGGAGAATGATGTGATTGACTTGACCCATTCCGTTAGCTTAGCACTTGATCGTTTTAGTTTACTGCTATTGCTTTCTTCATGACTTATACATGTTCCTATGACTATGAGATTATGCAACTCCCGATTACCGGAGGAACATTTTGTGTGCTACCAAACGTCACAACATAATTGGGTGATTATAAAGGTGCTCTACAGGTGTCTCCGATGGTACTTGTTGAGTTGGCATAGATCAAGTTTAGGATTTGTCACTCCAATTGTCGGAGAGGTATCTCTGGGCCCTCTCGGTAATGCACATCACTATAAGCCTTGCAAGCAATGTGACTAATGAGTTAGTTGCGAGATGTTGCATTATGGAACGAGTAAAGAGACTTGCTGGTAACGAGATTGAACTAGGTATTGAGATACCGACGATCGAATCTCGGGCAAGTAACATACCGATGACAAAGGGAACAACGTATGTTGTTATGCGGTTTGACCGATAAAGATCTTCGTAGAATATGTAGGAACCAATATGAGCATCCAGGTTCCGCTATTGGTTATTGACCGGAGACATGTCTTGGTCATGTCTACATAGTTCTCGAACCCGTAGGGTCCGCACGCTTAAAGTTCGGTGACGATCGGTATTATGAGTTTTTGTGTTTTGATGTACCGAAGGTAGTTCGGAGTCCCGGATATGATCACGGACATGACGAGGAGTCTCGAAATGGTAAAGACGTAAAGATTGATATATTGATGACTATGTTCATACACCGGAAGTGTTTCGGAAGGTTTCGGACATTTACCGGAGTACCGGGGGGTTACCGGAACACCCCAGGGAGTATATTGGGACTAATGGGCATTAGTGGGAGAAGAGGAGGGGCGGCCAAGGGCAGCCGCGCGCCCCCTCCCCCTCTAGTCCGAATTAGACAAGGGGGGTGGCGCTCCCCTTTCCTTCTCTTCCTCTCTCCCTTCCTTCTCCTCTCCTAATCCAACTAGGAAAAGATAGGACTCCCCCCTTAGCGCTCCCTCCTCCTTGGCCGGCCGCCTCCCCCTAGCTCCTTTATATACGGGGGCGGGGGGGCACCCCGTAGACACAACAATTGATCTGTTGATCTCTTAGCCGTGCGCGGTGCCCCCCTCCACCATATTCCACCTCGGTTATATCGTAGCAGTGCTTAGGCGAAGCCCTGCGACGGTAGCTTCATCAACATCGTCACCATGCCGTCGTGCTGACAAAACTCTCCCTCGAGCTCTACTGGATCGTGAGTTCGCGGGACGTCACCGAGCTGAATGTGTGTTGAACGCGGAGGTGCCGTACGTTCGGTGCTGAAGATCGGTCGATCGTGAAGACGTACGGCTACATCAACCACGTTGCTGTAAATGCTTCTGCTTAATGGTCTACGAGGGTACGTGGACGACACTCTCCGCTCTCGTTGCTATGCATCACCATGATCTTGCGTGTGCATAGGATTTTTTTGAAATTACTACGTTCCCCAACACTTTCGACCAACTGATGTCTACTACACAACCTTCTTGTTGTAGACGTTGTTGGGCCTCCAAGTGCAGAGGTTTGTAGGACAGTAGCAAATTTCCCTCAAGTGGATGACCTAAGGTTTATCAATCCGTAGGAGGCGTAGGATGAAAATGGTCTCTCTCAAGCAACCCTGCAACCAAATAACAAAGAATCTCTTGTGTCCCCAACACACCCAATACAATGGTAAATTGTATAGGTGCACTAGTTCGGCGAAGAGATGGTGATACAAGTGGTATATGGATAGTAGATTATAGTTTTTGTAATCTGAAAATATAAAAACAGCAAGGTAGCAAGTGATAAAAGTGAGCATAAATGGTATTGCAATGATAGGAAACAAGGCCTAGGGTTCATACTTTCGCTAGTGTAAGTTCCCTCAACAATAATATCATAATTGGATCACATAACTATCCCTCAACATGCAGCAAAGAGTCACTCCAAAGTCACTAATAGCGGAGAACGAACAAAGAGATTATGGTAGGATACGAAACCACCTCAAAGTTATTTTTTCCAATCAATCCATTGGGCTATTCCTATAAGTGTCACAAACAGCCCTAGAGTTCGTACTAGAATAACACCTTAAGACACAAATCAACCAAAACCCTAATGTCACCTCAAGTATCCATGGGTATGATTATACGATATGCATCAGACAATCTCAGATTCATCTATTCAACCAACACATAGAATCTCAAAGAGTGCCCAAAGTTCCTACCGGAGAATCACGACGAAAACGTGTGCCAACCCCTATGCATAGGTTCATGGGTGGAACCCGCAAGTTGATCACCAAAACATACATCAAGTGAATCACGTGGTATCCCATTGTCACCACAGATACGCACGGCAAGACATACATCAAGTGTTCTCAAATCTTTAAAGACTCAATCCGATAAGATAACTTCAAAGGGGAAACTCAAATCATTACAAGAGAGTAGAAGGGGAGAAGAAACATAAGATCCAACTATAATAGCAAAGCTCGTGATACATCAAGATCGTGCCAAATCAAGAACATGAGAGAGAGAGAGCAAACACATAGCTACTGGTACATACCCTCAGCCCCGAGGGAGAACTACTCCCTCCTCACCATGGAGAGCACCGGGATGATGAAGATGGCCACCGGAGAAGGATTCCCCCTCCGGCAGGGCGCCGGAATGGGTCTAGATTGGCTTTCGGTGGCTACAGAGGCTTCTGGCGGCGGAACTCCCGATCTATTGTGCTTCCGGATGTTTTTAGGGTATATGGAGATATATATAGGTGGAAGAAGTACGTTAGGGGAGCCACGAGGGGCCCACGAGGGTGGAGGGCGCGCCCAGGGGGTGGGCACGTCCCCCTACCTCGTGGCCTCCTCGAAGCTTCCCTTACGTAGACTCCAAGTCTTCTGGGCTTCTTCTGATCCAAAAATAAGTTCCGTGAAGTTTCAAGTCAATTGGACTCCGTTTGATTTTCCTTTTCTGTGATATTCTAAAACAAGGAAAAAAACAGAAACTAGCACTGGGCTCTGGGTTAATAGGTTAGTCCCAAAAATCATATAAAATAGCATATAAATGCATATAAAACATCCAAGGTTGATAATATAATAGCATGGAACAATCAAAAATTATAGATACGTTGGAGACGTATCAGCATGTTGGAAATATGCCCTAGAGGCAATAATAAAATGGATATTATTATATTTCCTTGTTCATGATAATTGTCTATTGTTCATGCTATAATTGTGTTATCCGGAAATCATAATACATGTGTGAATATATAGACCACAACATGTCCCTAGTAAGCCTCTAGTTGACTAGCTCGTTGATCAATAGATGGTTACGGTTTCCTGACCATGGACATTGGATGTCATTGATAACGGGATCACATCATTAGGAGAATGATGT